AAGCATATTGGATGGAAGAGCATTTGCCTGAATACCAATATACAATGGTGACCAATGCAGACGGGGACGATGTGCCCGGCATCCTCTTTGAAGGTGCGGCTTATGAGCTGGAGCTGATATCGGCATCCGACGTTGAGACCATTGCCAGCCAGACTCGCGTCGACAAGAAGTTTTCTGATTTTGCAACTCGTGTCAACAAAGTTTGCAGGGGGCATGGATCCTGTGCCAAGGTGCCAATGGACAAAGACCTTTGGATTGACTTGGAGGATTTTGCCAAAGCCTTCCGCAAGGAAGTGCCCCCAGATGTTTTCATCACTGTCGCAAACCTGTTTGGCACCGCAATGAAGATCGACAAGCATGGCAAGAGTAGGTTCCAATTCTTGTGTGCAAAGATTTCCCATTTTCCTGTCGACAATGGCCTAGGCATGCCGTATTATCCTGTGAAAATCCGTGCAATTCAGGGTCACTCCGAAGCTGCCTTGAAAACCGCAGGGGGTCTTTATGCCAATTCAACCATGGTGTATTGCTCAGACCATGTATCCCCCGAGCGAAAAGCCGCCTTCACTGGCGTGCCCCTGTGTGCCATGACTGAGGTTCCTGAGGTTGTCTTCCATCGCACGATGAAAAGCAGCTGGAAGAGCATCGCACAGAACGGCCTGATTCCAGGCGGCGGTGCAACAGTCAACAGTGGCCGTGCTCATATCTACATGGCAGAACACTGTATTGGCACGCAGGGGTATCGATCTGGATTAAGAGCAAAATGTCCAATCGAAGTCAAAATCGCAATGCGGCAAGCAGTTGAAGCTGGTGTCATCTTTAGTCGCACAGAAATGGATGGGATTTTGTGCTCAGAACGCATCCCACCGCAGTTTCTGGTCAGCATCTCAGAAGAAGGACAGGTGCTTTGGTCCCGCGCCGAGAGCAATCTCGAGCCCAGCACATGGACTGGCGCGGCATCAGCCTCAGCACCGAAAGCCAAAGCGGTCACCTTGACTGCCCGAGATGATGCAAATGACGACCCAATGGATGACACCAGCACGGGGCGACCCGATGCCAAGTCCACTGATGATGATGCAGCCACTGCCTCAATGCAAGTTGACCAGCCGCCCGCAAGGACGCGCCGTGTTTACATTGCACCCAAGTACTGCGAACCTTTCATGGGCTCCTGTCCCCTCTGCCAGGTTGAGTACGTCAGTGGCCAAGTGACATGCACCACATGTGGTTTTGAGCCACTCCCAGTGGACGAAAGTGGCGATACAAAAGAGGCCAACAAACCCAACAGGAGGACCCGCATCCTTGAACGGCGAATGCAAAGTCTCGCCGGGTTCGGAATGTTTGGGAAGATGAGCGGAAGCTTGCTGACAGCCTTGACGGAAGAGCAAGCCAACCTGCTACGCCGAGAACTGGGCCCCAGGGGAATCACATCCGTGGAATCAGCAGTCCTCAAAGACTGCCGCGACAGGCATCGACGTGCAAAAGCGCTGGGCTACGAGGACGTGGAAGACAGATACTCCAGCGACGTCACTTTTTGCGACCGCATCCACGGTGAGGGGAAGGACCTGCAGGACTGCATATTTGACGATATGTTCGCATATGGCAACCTCCCCGATCCCCCAAGGACCAAAGCTCAGATCTCGGCTGGCGTCGCCGCCAATGCCCAAAATGAGAACTGCTTATCTAAGTTGATTTTCATGTCTCAGCCTCGTGGCGTTGATGGCTTCCCAGTTGAGTTCCGCAAAACATGGAAGAAGGTCTGGGGTTTCATGTTTGGCCGCCACATTTTTACAGAGGATGAATATGTCAGCTACATCGGCCGTCGTGGCGCATTCCGTGGCCTGTTGACCTGGAAGGGTACTGTCCAAGTCCCTCTTGATGGCACTCGTGATTTCCTCGAAAAGGTGTATGAGGAAAACCTTCCCTTGGTTCGGAGCAATCTTGAACGCAAAGAGAAGCAGAGCGCCGCTGCAAAGGCTGGAGGTCCTGGAGGTCATAAGGCCGACCCCACGGTCGCGCCCACCATTGAGCGAAAGCGCAAAGCCGAAGCTGATGCATCCGCAACCGCACCAGATGTCACAGCCGCCTCAAGCTCTGCTCGCGCAGATGCCTCGCACGCTGATGCCCCAGCCGCACCATTTCTGGTACCTGAACCACCAACATCCAAAGCAGGAGCACGACCATTCTTGGAGCCTGAGACACCGCCCACTGCAAAAGCAGCAACCGCAGGAGTCACTTCGAAGGCTGCAAGCTCCGGTCGCCCGGATGCCTCTTGGAGTTGGAATCGTGATCACTATGGTGCACGCCGAGAATGGAGTTTCTGGCGTGGGGCTTGGTATTACCGTGACGAGGCCGGCGGCCGTTGGATCTTTTGGAACCGTTAGGGAGACGATGATTTTCTTTTGTAGCATAGCGCAAGATGTGGCATGGTAATGTGCCTTCCTTGCAACGCTGCGCTGGGTTTTACGGGCTTGAGCTTTTTAGAGGGACCTTTGAAAGACTGCACAAAATGTCTAAAACCAACTAAAGAAATTTGGCTACCCGCGAGGGTGTGCTTTTCTGGGTTATTCGTTCTCCGCAGTCGTCCCTGCTCGCCCGAGGGGGGTGTAAAAACTCCTGCAGTAAAACCATGTATTGTATATATCATCGATCTACCCGATAGCGTTGGTTCAAAAGAGCTGAGTGCTTACCGGTCTGTTGTTGCCCCATTAGTTATTGTAACTATTGTTGGCTGACCTTGTAAAATACAGATATTTTCAGAGTCGATGCGGGATGATCGATGGGGATTTGATGGGGATCAGATGAACCAAGAAATTGAGTGGATTTTGTGGAAAATGATCTATTTTCATCTAAAGCCTCATCTGGTTGGTGGGTTCAAACCATGAATGGATTATTTTCCATTTCATATATGGGATGTCATCCGAAACCCATTGACTCATATTTTTCAAGATAGTTTTTTAACCACCAACCAGTCATCTATTCTGCATCACAAGGCTCAAGAATGAGAAAGCACCGTGGAATTTTTGTTTAGCCACTCCAGGAAAAAGCGGTCACCACTGGCTCAATCCATGAGTTCTCAGTTGGTGCTGGGTCAAGTGATTTGATACGGTGCTGGGTACTTCTTCTCAGTTTGTACCGTATGTCACAAATAATAAACACATAGGATCGGATAGCTGTATGAAATCCAACAAAAAAAGGGGGAAAGGTTGAGGTATTTGCTGCAAAAAAAGAATCAAAAGCTGGATTGAAACATTGTTTTGAAAGTTCCACTCCTTCGAGGATAGTGATCCTGAACGCCTTTTCCATATGTTTCCGATTTTTTGGTGGGGTGGCTCAACCACCAGGTTATTTTACCCATCATTGGTTCCTGCGTCACTGATCTGGACCCAGCACCTGGCAGCCCATGGCTGCCACCGTTTCCATCAACCTTTCCAGCCGTAATCATGGCATTCTGCCAGATGCGGGGATTACCGCAAGTAGCGATGGTGAATGTTTTAAACGGAGCCTCGCAGAAAAGCGAAAGTCTTTAGGCGCGAGCACGGAGATGCAAAGCACAGAGGCAGACTTGGAGCAGCTTTTGAAAGACCTCACTTCAGCTCTCAACATCATGTGAAAGAGATATTCTTTATCGGAGTCACAATGCTGGTATTCTTGATCAGAGTCACAATGCTGAACGTCATGATGTGTTTTAAGATAAGGCTATGAAGGTCATAATTCCGATTGACAAAGACCCAGATACCGCACATTGAATCCGTTTTCCATCACAAGTTGTTTTTTACTATATTCTGAAAGTTCGTGCATGACACCATGATACGGGCCGCGTGTGAACGGGATGATCAATCGGACAACATGTGAAAACGACATTTGACCAGTGTTTAAACCCATTGTTGACCCTTGTTGGTTATTGATGGTCGATGATTCCTTTGGGGGTTATACTGTACTACCCAATAGTTTGTGGATTATCATCATCAGCTAATTGTGGGAAGAATTTACGCACTATTGGAGCAGGCTTTAAAAAAATATCTGGACTTCACACTGCTGCTACATGACCAATGCATAAAATTGGCATAAAACTAGGTCAAATGGAGGACACCCTTGATTGATAGCTGCTTCCGTGACATTTAAGCGTTGAAAAAAATGGTAGTATCTACCCTCCGGTAGTCATGGCTGGCTTGAAAATCCCCTAGTGGATATGTTAATGGGAACATCATCTATTTATGGAATATTGTCAAGTTATAAAAAGGGAGGGTAATGGAGAAGAAAACACATTTTCCGGAATGGTTCTTCTTTTTATTGTTGGGAGGGAAACCCATCACATCATCACATCAAAGGTGGCAACTGAAAACACAACCTCTGCCGAGTTTGTCAAGTTCTTGAACTTTGCCATAATCTCTTCCTCTCGCGTGGCGCAACGCGCAATGTGCCGGCCTGGCCGTTACTTCAATGAAAAGTGTTCCGCCTTTTGGACTGTGGCGCGCGCGTAGTCATCAATTTTGAGGAAGTAATCCCATGCCCCTTATTAAACACACCCCCATTGGAGGGTCACAAATAAGTGTAAATCCCCCACTAAACACTTATTTGGGACCATTTAGGTTGTGTTTAATATTAGAGGGATGGGATTACTCGCATCATTTGCAGCTCCACATTGAACATGTGTGACAATGTGTGACAAACAGTCCAGGCTAATGATACCTAGTAAGTCACCGCCATGACTGTTGGGTCAAGCCACGACAAGCCCAGCCATCCAGGTCTTCCAATATCTACAGCATATGATTGTGGGTCAACTTGCTAACTGGAAAAATCCGTGGATCATTGGGTTGAAAGGAGATGCATCAATCTTCAAGAGCCCATTCCTGGCTTCCTAGGAACTACAGCAACTACTGGAACTCTTACGCCGCCCATTTTGCTCCAGTGAAAAAATCAAAAGAAATGTCACACGAGGCTTTAAAGTTGTTAAACATTGGTTTCAATTTCTTCGTTCCCCATAGTTGGATTGATGTCCAAGGATGCCAGAAGAGGAGTCATGCGGATTGTATGGAGCTTTTGCTTACACTGTCAGAGCCATCTGGAACAGCCAGCACATGCATGATCATGTGCTAGAAAGCCTGTACAGTTTCATGATGCATCAGTCATCAATCGAAATCCTGTTAGAACAATCAAAAGAAAGAGGGACCCGTTTCACTATATTATAAAAGATAAATAAGCATAAACAAGCAATGCATCTAGATCGAAAGAATTTACCATGAAAACTATGTATCAACCACCAAAAAAACATCACAAAAAAATAAAATTACCAAAAACATGAGAAATCTACCCTTATTAAATTCAAACATCACCCGAAATTATCGACAAATCACTCACAAATCATGAAACACCACGAAAAAGCGATTCGAAAATCATCAAAAACGATCAGAAAATCACCAAAATCCGTCCTTTTTATCCATGAAAAGCCATGAAAAAGCATAAGAACATATAAGAACATTCACCAAAATCCCTCCAAAAAGCATCCAAAAACATCAACTTCCCCTATCCGAAACCCCCAAAAAAATGGCGCTGACCATGGCCTCTCCCCGGCGACGGACTCGGAGCCCGCGGAGCTCCCGAAGCCCTTACGCTCCGCGCAGCCCGCGGAGCCCGCGGAGCGTGAACGGCGAGCACAGGTACGCTGCAATGTGGTGCCCCTTGCAGTTTAGTGAAATATTACCCATATATATACTGTAAGGGATATACATATACTACATATATCTTGGGCTGAAATTTAGCCAGATATATTCTAATTTACCCAGATATATACTGTAATATACTGTACATATATACAGTTTTTGGGAAACATGGTGGATTTTACCTGATATATGATACAAGGTGGTGTCCCCCCAGTTATAAATTGGTTATAAGCCCATGAACTATAGATATATCACCAACAAAAACCTTAGTGAAATTGGAGTTATAAACGCACCAACTGAACGCTATCGAACGGGGGCACCATCCTGTATGGGATGAATGTCAACCCTGGATTAATCAAAGCCCAAATGGCTGTTGAATTGGGAGGGTACCATTAAAAAAGTACCCCCTAATGGTTTATTAATCCCGGGTTGACATTGTAACTGGTCACAAATGGGATTACACATTTCATAAATGGGTTTTTCTGTAGGGACATAATGGTATATAACCACCAATATCGTGGGTCGAAACCTGTCATCACCATATTTCTGGGAATAACCATCCAGCTAAACCAGCTATGACTTTGGGTACCGTTTGGGTATCAGGGTTTTGACTTGCCTTGTGAGGCCGCCTACTTGTAAGTTGGTTTATAATCCCATCTAAGTATAGTAACTACCATAGTCACCTAGTTATTGTAGTTATTGTGGTTATGTTCACCAACTTAGCTATCTTGGGGGTGCCACATTGTAGGGGTTGGAAGATTAGGTTCCACTAAAAATGTTGTTTGGTATTTTCAGGGTCGAACTGCTCATTTACCAGCGGGTATAATTTATGACTTGTTAGTCAATGACATAAAATTTCTTTATATATATATATACATATTTATATATGTATATATGATATACAGTAGAGACTGGGAAGGGGTTCATCTTCTATATAAGATATTTCTTATATGATATCTAATATGAGTCGGTTCAAGAAATGAGTCGGAAGGGATTCACAGGATTCACATATGGAGATATTTCCCAGGAATGTTAATATTTATGCGTGTAAATGAGGGCTTCCATAAATGGGGAGTCCCCAAAATGGTTGGTTTATAATGGAAATACCGAAAATAAAATGGATGATTTAGGGGTAACCCCACCCATTTCAGGAAACTTCCAAAAGAGTATATTAACAGTTTATTAAACGAGATTGCTGTGATAAATGCAATAACTATAGGGATCATTGTTGGGAAGGGATGTGGTAGACCCAAACCATCAAATTTTCAAACCAGTGGAGGGCATTTTATATCATCCCAAATAGGGGTGTACCCAATAACAATCCTCTATTGGGATGTTTTTTTCTTTAATTGGGTTGCCCGCATTATATACATTAGATAAGATTACTGGGAAGGGATTAATTTTCTATAGTATCAGATGTTACTTGTATTGTAAGATATTTCCCAACATATGAAGATAAATCCCTTAACAGCCCCCAGTAACATCAAAGTCAGTACCCTCCTCAAAACAAACGTTGCAATGGACAATACCCCATTCATAGATGATTTTCCCAGCCAGAAACCATTATTTTTGGCGATTTCCCAGCCAGCCACATTTGCTTACCGGAGAGCAATCCTTTCCCCGGAATATCAAAATAAAACGCAATGTTTATCATGTTTAATGTTAGATTGTGAATTTATTTGCATTTATATGGATTTATGTAAAGTTTTATGGATCTAATCTATATATGGAGTTCCATGGATCTTCCACCCCCCCTTAAAAAACAACCCCCCAAAAAAGTCGTGGACATGAGGGATGAAGACACAGCACGCAGAGTCTCTGGGTTTCGCCATACCCAAACACTGAATATCTGTCAAACACAGTGTCAGAATATGATAGAATTGTCAAATAAAATGTCGGAATATCAAAATATCTGTCAACTAAAGTGTCAGATCAGATAAAATGTTGGAAACATGTGAAAACTATTTATCGAAAGTCCGAATAGAATGCATCACAAATGACTCACTGAAATGACAGTTGGGGCCACTCGAAGTACAGCAAATCTTGTTGATTTACGTTGTTGTTTTCTGTTGCCATCTGTGATTACTTCAAAATGGCAATCGGCTCAACGGCCAAGACGACCACAACGCCTAAACCCTCCGGTCATCAAACATGGTTTGCTGGAAAAAAACGGATTTATAGATGGTTTTTGTCGCACCAACTATACCACTTTTCATAGAGAAGTTTCCCATTCAAACTTCCATTTATGGATGATTTGTCGCAGCTAAAAAATACCTTTCATAGATAAGTTTCCCATTCAAAGTTCCACTGATAGATGATTTTTTGCAGCGATAAACCTCCATTAGTAGATGATGTTCCTTGATTTTCCTATGGTTTTTCTATAGTTGTCCCACTAAGACCTCCATTTCCAGTGGATTTCCCATGTGTTTTCATTGCGCGACACAGAACAGCTAGGCGGCCACAACGGCGTTCTTCCCGTGGCGAGGGGAAGCGAGAGAAGGACGGCGGCCAGGACGATGCTTCGAAGATCCTTGGAGATGTCTGGGTTCGAGGCGGCATTTCACCATCCACGTGGGGTATGGGTGTAATGTCAACCCTCACTGTTCTCCCGAAACCTGGAATCATGGTTTTAGTTTAGGGAAATCATCCCCTTTTATGGCCGCAAGATTCAGCTTAGTGAAATATGATAATTTACCCAGTATTATGGATTAATAAACCCCGTTTACGGTTCTTTAATTGGGGGGATCCCATTTAAGTATCATACTGTAACTATTTGGAGGGTACCCCCACAATGAAAATGAACCATGGTTTATTAATCCGGAGTTGGCATTATCCCCAAATGGGACTTCAGTTGTTATCAAGGTATCAAGTTACCATAAGTTACCAACTTAAGAGCTGTCAGTTTACATAATCATAAGATTTAAAAGTCAAACATCCAGTTCAAGCATGTTAAGACATATATATATATATATTTATCATTGGTTATTGGGATTTGGAATATAGGGATTTCAGGAATGATTACTGGATATAAGAGAATGGGTCAAAAATAGACGACCTAAGGGACCACAGATTTGAGTCTATGTTTGAGTATTAACCTTCCAACTATTGGGGGACCCAATTTTGACATATGGGTGTGTCTGAAAATTGTGTCTCCCCCCAAAATGCACTTTTAAAAGGGAAAATATTCATCTTTTCAGCCAACCCCATATAATCGGGATACATTCTGAGAGTGAACTGGGATAGAAGGAGATATATTTGGGATACGCTGGTATATATATATATATGTTTTTTTTATGATATACTGATCATTGAGATATAATGATGATTGAGACAATTGGATGTAACTGGGATAAACCAATTACAATTTGGGGTTTAATTGGGATACAATGGGAATCAATGATATAATGCCTGATCTTATGCATTGATTCACCTCACAATAACATATCAATTAGGGATATAATCAGCAAGATGATATTGGGGTTGTCTACCTGACAGGAGATTTTTTTCCCAAATCAAGGCCATAAAAAGTTGAAGACAACTAGCCGGCGATCACCGGCGGATTTGTAAGCGTACTCTATTACAGACAAAGCCATGTTGAATTGGCCACATGTGGGAACCAGTAAAGTTCGATTTATGGGAATGTGAATCAACGACACTTTGTTGGGGGGGTTTTGAATACATGAATGCCAAACAAAGGTAGCAACCTCCCCACCTTATCATAGACCTCAAACATGTTCTTGTTTCCCTCGTTTTAGGTTGTTTCACTTACCTAGATATATAGCTGGGTACATTGAATTTTATCACCATTGGCGCGGGATACAACTAGAGATGAGTCATGCCAGTGGCCTTTCTGCCCGTGATGCCAGCATGACCACTGGACATAATGACCCCACTGGTGCCACCATAAATGATAAGTTGTTAATATTTGATACGTTTTATTGTATATTTGTGAACGACCCCCAGATGGTTTGACCATGTTTGACCTTTGATTCGTCGGTTATTGCATGTGTTTGTCCGCATGTATGGGCACCCGGTGAACGAAAGATTATCAACAAGGCAAACTTTGATATGTTATGTTGACAAAATTGCCCATGCAACCACATGATTGTTTGTACAAACTGCACAACAAGTTTACATCATTTTACATCATGTTTGACATTCAAGGACGCGTTCTATCATGTAGTGTGAAAAGAAGCAGCAAATTGTCAGATCAATTATCATAATGATTCGTTGCTTATGATACATCATCTGACAATGATTTTCTGTATATCGTCCCTTTTTTTGTTGTGCCAAAGTTCTGCGAAACGCGTTTTCGCAGTTTCTGTTACGGTTCACTTTTTTGCCTCAGTTTTTTGCCTGGCCCAAAATGAAACGGTCGAGAACATCGGAATGAAAACTATAGGAAATGTATAGGAAATGAGAGCATTGGAATGAAAATTTACAGTACTAGATATGTGAAATGTATATAAAAATGAAAACTTCACCCACAGAATGAGTATTGTATGAACGGTGAACGGTGCTTCATTGATTCAGCGTCTGATGATAAGCTCCACCCAGCCATTCAATGTCGCGCCATGCCGTATCTCTCAGGGAAGTAAAGGAAGCAGTGAAAGGTGCTAGGGAGAAGGCTCCGGGTTGAAACGGAATGTGAGAATCAGCTGAAGATGGGATGTTCGTCACGCTACTTGACCATGAAAATGTGGATCTTCCCGGCAAATTTGGACTATAAAATCTTCATACATAGGACTTGAACTATAAAATAACTGGTTGGTGGTTTGGAACATTTTTCCATATATCTTTTCCATATATTGGGAATGTCATTTTATCCCAACTGACGAAGTCATATATTTTTCAGAGGGGTGGGTGAACCACCAAACAGATAATGTACTTTAGGATATATCAAGGATCACGAGTTTGATTTTAGTCATCAAAAATGTGTTTTTTTGTTCCCATGACAGTGATGGATTTGTGTGATGGGATTCGCCAGGAAGACTTCGGATGTGATATCCGTAAGATTCACTGCGGCTCAAAATGATGAATTTCAAGAAGAATTGCATCATCAATTGCACGAATTTTCTAATATATATGCATAATCCGGTGCATATGAGCTAAGCTAGTTTATGTTCAATGAAACACAGTCATTTACTTTTATAGCACAAAGTTTGAAACAAAGTTTCATGAATCTTACGGATGCAGTACCCCATTCTTGAGCCAAGTGAAGAGATGAAGATGCCCAGTTCTTCCGGTTCTAGTTGTGAAGGCCACTTATAATTCGTTGGTATTAGTTACAGATATATATATATACATTTATATGTCAACAAGTTGTAAGTCTACTGTAACTATATATCTAGTGACTAGTTGGTTATATCAGTCTACAGTCTACAAGTTGTCTGTGTTTGGTTGACCCATTCTGCACTAGCCCAACTCTGTGCTGCTCTACTGGATCCATATCGTAAATCATCCTAAATGGCTAATTTCAGGTTAGTGAAATTTGAAATATGTCATATAACTTACAATGAATTTACCCAGATTAATGAAATATTATCGTCCATAAATCATCATAAATCCATATTAATCATTAAACACAACAGTAACCACTCGATGGTAGAAGGACTGTGGGAGAACCCAGCATTTTTCGGCAACATGAGACAACTTCATAGCAACCTCGCTAGAAAGGATGGTTGGTTAGGGATCCGGCGTTTGTCATTTGGTTTGCACATCAAATTTGCCCAAAAAGATCCAAATAGTGGACATGGCTGCTATTCCGTAGCATACTATCGCATACCAAAAGATTACTCAACTGCAGTGTACCTATTTGGGTATGGGATGGGATGGGTCAAAAGCTAGAATGCCATGGTATGACAATTTATGCGGGAGTAGTATCCATACCAACTATTTTGGCGGTGAAAACATGTGAAAACCATGGTGTTGATCCAAGGCAAACAAACGTTTCGGGCGACGAAACCGCCGAGTCCTGTGACTCTCACTGTCAGGCGAAAGAACAAATGGAACGGGAACGTGAAAAAGCGCGCTTGAAACGAGCTGAGCGTGACTCTGCCACCAAGGTGCAGCTGTGCTCGACTCGGAGCACGGCCTCAAGCATATATACAAATATGTGTATATATATATATAATTATATACACATTTGTATATGTATATACAAATTTATATATGTATATACAAATCGATATTTTTAATACGTGTATCTTGATTTGAGAAAAATAAGTGCTCAACCTGCTTGTCGGAACACTTTCTGAAGGGTTGAGCATCATGCGATTTTCACCCAGTGCAATGGGGTAAAATCTCACGCGACAGGAAAGGGAGCAGCAGAGGAAAGACTTTCGAGAGCAGAAGCGCGAGGAGGCGGATGCTATACATGGGTGCAAGATGAGTGTGAAATGGTGTTGATTTGAAAAATTCACAACCGGATAGCTTGATGTTGTTTCATGTCATGATATTTCTTGCAGTGTGACGAATATGATTTGGCATTGATAAAATATACGGTGATATTTGTTGATTTTATTGCATATCACAGAAAATTCCAATCATATCCCATTTGGTAGTTTTTGTTATTTCTGCGCCGCTCTGCGCCCTTCCATGTTCCTTCTGTCAACATGGTAGTGTGGCGCTGGTTAAGGAGATTATACCATCTCCCGTTATATCCCCATGAACCCCAGATTGGTCTCTCATTTATCAGTTATATCACCTTCAAAGATTGGTTCAGACCCATAGTTGATGGTTAAATCTCCCTATAAGAACCAATCAAGAGGGGTATTTTGATCAATTATCCTATACAGTAATGAAAACCAGTTCATGTCCTAATTGCACCTATGGATCCCCTTCAAATCCCAAATATTGGGCCATACATTGAATTAATAATGTTACTACAATCTATCGGCTATAGCAAGTTTGTTCATGGTTTTCAATAGATTCCCATATTTTGACGGATTGTGTTGATATTTCGTTGTATCCCTTTTAATCCCAATGGCTTTCATTGTCAAGAGTAGTTTCAGCAATTGTTGGATACAACACAGTTGGATAAACCACCTATCAACTGGTGCAGGATTTCGCAACCATTCACTGTATGTTCCATGATATCCCACCCACTCTCCGCGCGGAAGTCACTGGAGAGTGTTAGCTGCCGCGGTGCCGACAAACTTGCTTCAGTGCAAGCTGCTGGTTTCGGTGGTGCTTATGCATGTGCTTCCAAAGAAGCTGTTGTTGCAGAAGAAGATGCATAAGAGAAGGTTTCGAAGATCTTCCCCAAGCAGTGGTGTGAGGGATGTGGATGGAGGAGTGCCATCTGGAATGAATGGAAACCCGGTTGGTGGTGGCTCCGCTCTACAAGATACAGGAGAGGCCTCTTTTGTTTGTTCAAGTATTGGGAAGGCAATCCATATATGATTGACCACAAGGCAGGTAAATGATTTTAATATGCAGTTTCACCGTTTTCCTGAGATTCATCGGTGCATGCCGCGTTTGCCATGTTGGGAAAAGGTAGCATTATGCCTGCGTTTTTAGGAACCAAGTGCAGGCACCCGTTTTGCTTTGGCAAGTCTTGGTGTGGGAGGCAACATTATGACAATTGAATGATGCAGTGCTTGATTTGGTGTGTGTGTGTGACCGACCAGAGCAGGTTGTTCAAAAAAAAATCAAGTGCACAATCGCCACGAGCACACATGCCAGCCCTTGCGCAAGTGCCTTGCGTTCAGAAGGAAGCCCGCTGCGTATATTTATATATATACATACTTTTTTATTGTTTATGTGGCATTCTCCGGGCTTGCCAAGAATGGCCATCTCCGGCATGCCAAACTGTAAGGTTGTGCTCAGAATGAATCTAGCCTTTGCACCATTTACACCCAGGCTGTGCTGAAGGCGTGCAGAATTCAAGAGTTCACCGATCGAATCAGACTGAGCAGTGCCTGGCACGAGGACAAATTGGGCATGTCAAGTGCTGCGAGCTGTTGTTTCAATGTGTTGATTCATAGGCAGGATCACGAGTGTGGACTTCTCCCAGTCAGCCGCGCCTTTCTTTGAGGCTGGTTCTTCAAATTAAGCCTTGAGCACCGCTTGCACCTCAGCTGATGGCTCTTGTTGATGCGCGTTTGTTTCTTTGTATGTTTGGCAGCACAAATGCCTACATGGACTGCGCAGGCACCTGTGAGGGGTGACACGGTCTTGCAACTTAAGCAAAAAGCCGAGCAAGGAAATCATATCAGGCAGGGCATCATGAGACTATACCACGTTCTGGATTTTGATCTCGCTGCAATATTGGGATTCAAAGAAAGCCATCGCGTAGCTCACACGCCGGGCAAGAAGGTTACGGAGGTCAGGTGCATCTCGACTGCTCCTGTTGCTGGGTTGCTTCGGGGCCAAACATCTCTGCTTGGGCTCACGTTGGGCTATGTTCCGCGCCACGCCCCCAGTCTTTTAGCGAACACCACTCAAAAATAATCATTAATGCCATTTCCACTTGCAATGCGCCGACATAGAGTCCAGATGCGTCCCATTCTTCGAGGCGTGAGCAGTGGCCCATATATAGGACATGGTTTGCAACAGTGTAACAGTGTATTCAAGTTTTTTGTGATTGGATCACACTATATTGTGTTTTCTTCTTGTGCGTTTGCGTTTTGCAGCTGCATGTGTAAGCCAGGACACATGTCTGCTCACATATATAGCATTGCTAAAACCTTGTCCTGGCTGCTTGTTCTTTGGCTCCCTCCGCAAATTGCATGTGTACGTCACTAGAAGCCACAGTTGTTTCTTCATTGTTCATCGCATTGCCGACGCTTCAAACCGAGTGAGTATATGTATGGTGGGTTCATTGACGATCAATCTCAGTCCTCGTGAGTGAATGCTGCAACTGTAAACGCAATAATTATATGGAAAAACCAAGAGATAGTGCTTGGCGGGCGGCGGGTTCATTGCGAGCCGTCCCTGTCACTATTGCTGTTGTCCTCAGGCTACAGTTGCACGTGGCGAGGGGTTGAAAGTAACAGTGCAGCCAAGCAGTTGAATTGATTGAATTGCGTCTTCGTCCGTAAGTATTTGCACATAGTAGGCGAGCTCGGGCGAAAAAGCATGCAGTGGAGGGTGACATGTGAACACGTGCAAGTGGCGAAAGAATCAGTATCGATCGGCTTGTCTTGTAGATTATGCAAGGTTTTTTGTGGGTGCATAGGGTCAGTATTTTTGCGATGTGGATTCTGGATTCCATTACTAAGTATGGAGGTTGAAGGACATTGTGCCTTCTTGCGCCCCAGGGCTGAGCCCGGGCATTGCACCTTCTTGCCCCCCCGGGCTGAGCTGAGTCATTGCGCCTTCTCGCGCCCCACGCCTGCGCCTGCAGCAGCAGCTTGCCATTATTGAAAAAATTAAACCTGATTTGGCTGCATTGCCTTCTCGTCGTTAAGGACGGAGGACGAAGATGTGCACGTCCCAACGCTTCCAATATAAATCATGGAAAAACGTCAGCATCCGCATCTTCTTCTTTCTCATTGTCCAGATCCCCTTGGATTCCGCCATCGCTATCTGAATCTGAATCTGGACAATGAAAACGAAGATGCGAATCCTGACGTCTTGCCATCATTGTTTGGCTATATGAAGAAGCCGAGGAAGAAGGGCTTCCTGGTGAACCTTTTGAGTCAGGAAATGAGGCGGTTTCGATTTGCTGAGGAGGGCGCGCTGGCAGATGAAGGAGCTGCCAAGGCCTGTGTAGAATCCTTGCGCGCAAAATATTACGACCCTTGGACAGCTTCCTTTGAAGAAGGTGTAAAACTTGTCGAAGAGGCATTCCCAAATATAATCCGACAAGTGCACCCTGACAAGATCCAGGGTCATGCGGTGCCACGGAAAGCACAGCAGCCGGTGGAGAGGCACGAGAAGCTCGTAGCATTTTCGAAACAGCATAAACAGCGAGGGGAGGAAGTTTCCAAGAGTCGCATGACTTTTTCCATATCTGGAGTGCCTTCAGATGCCCAGCCTGCGCCCATTTGTGGGGCGTCGTCTTGGAATGTCCTGCGTGCACCACAAGAAACACCATTGTGGCTTGGCGAAAAACCATATAACATTCAGGGTTGTTGCGAGATGAGCGGTCTCCATCACAACTCGGCCCCACAATGCCAGGCCGTTATTGTTCCTGAATGGCTCGAGGAGGCTCTTGTGCGAGCTGGGACGGCTTTCTCGCAGGTTGACGCACAAGTTGCTCGTGCGAAGGTGCACAGGGATATTGAAAAAGCCAGGAAACCCAATATTGCTTCGACGGCGAAACTCGCCGAAGTTCGGAGCAAGCTTCATTGCTGGAAGAAAAGCCAAAGAGGTGACCGAGGGATGGTGGGAGCATCCATCTGTGCAAGGTGGCCAAGCAAGGGCCGCACTAGGCCCCGTATCCGCAAGGCCTTCACTTTCCGGAGATGCGCGGAAGTCACTGGAGAGTATTAGCTGCCGCGGTGCCGACAAACTTGCTTTAGCGCAAGCTGCTGGTTTCGGTGGTGCTTATGCATGTGCTTCCAAAGACGCTGTTGTTGCAGAAGAAGATGCATAAGAGTCGGTTTCGAAAATCTTCCCCATGCAGTGGTATGAGGGAAGTGGATGGAGGAGTGCCATTTGGAATGAATGGAAGCCCGGTTAGTGGTGGCTTTGACAAAGCAACATCACCATGTCGGGTTTTTTTGACCAACACTTCTGGATTTGGCGGTTCATTGGCAATTAAGTTGTGGTTTAAGCACCATCCATCGGGTTTTGGAAATGCTTTGATGTATACTACATCCTAGTTATATCGCAATTATGCCCAAATTATATCAAATTATACCTCCACATATGCCCTTAAAATTCCTTTTGTTGGCTTTGCTATGGATGGATCCACCAACGATGGCAGGATGCTATGGCGATCGCGCAGTCTGTGGATGACAGCGCACGCCGTGCAGCCCGAGAGAGCAAAGGCGATGAGGGGTTGGTTGAGGGAAAATTTATGGTGATTTCATGTGGATTTCATGGCAATTTTGTTGAAAATTGTGCTGTATTGGAATAATTTAATGGAGTTTAATGTATAGTACATAACCAATGAAACTGTCTGGTGGTTTCAAGTACATATGTTTTATACTTGCAACAATTGAAATGAGACGATGGCCCAATTAAGAAATTGTTCTGGTTGGAGGTTTGGAACATGAATTTTATTTTTCCATAATATATGGGATAATCATCCCAACTGACCTTCATATTTGTTAGAGGGGTAGCTAAACCACCAACCAGATTGTCAATTTTAGTGGGATGAACTTCCATAATATATGGGATCATCCTTCCCATTGACTAATATTTTTCAGAGGGGTAGTTATACCACCAACCAGTTGTTGTTTGCCACCCCAAATCACCATGGCTTTGGGCCACCTCAGGCGACTCTCTGAAGATTTCTGCACAGACTGAGGCGGGTCGGCGGGTCAGGTGAACGGCTGGCAGGTTTGGTGGTTTGACGTCGAACCGGGATTGGATTGAAAAATTATGATTCGGGAATCCCACCATGTTGAAGAATACACTTGTTTGCAGTGTAATTCTCCAATGTTTGGTTCTCTGAATATTCTATGCAATATGGGAGCCCAATGCCTAAACAACTACCATTTGGAGGTGGTTTGAATCCCACCCGTAGTTTATGGCATTGGGTTTGCCACAGTGCTGTAATCATCTATCATCGGACATGGAATTGGTAGATGGTCGGGTTGTAGCCATTCCTCTCGTGGATCAAGCAGTCTGGCAGTTGATGTATGTTGATGTCTTGAACCCCAGACAGAAAGAAATGTTCGTAGGTTCCATACCGAATAACCATTAACATGTGTATATGTTTGTCCATCTATATTATTAAAGTAACAATATATATGATGTTCACATGTAAATAACTGGAACACCTGAATAAAAAAATTGGAACCGGTTGGAACTGGTTGGAACCGGTTGGAACTGGTTGGAACCGGTTGGAACTTGGAAAACCACCGAGTTCCAATTATAGAAACCCAGTTCCAGTTGGGGTTCTTCTCGACAGTCGATAGTTTCGTTTTTCTCTACAACAGCCACATTCCACTAGAGACGAAAATCTGCAGAAAACCGTGGTTTTGATTGTCAACGATTGCATTTCCAATTCTGGGATATGGTGTTGACAAAACATACTGTACCATACTGTACCCCAAGAATCCAGTTGTGTAAAATTTCAATTGTCCAATTTTTAATGACCATAACTTAGTGTATATTTTGGGCACACATATATATATATATTAATGTAGGTTTCTGGTTAGTGTAGGGCCCCCCCCAAAACTAATTTTGGCTACTGAATAGTGTAGAAATTTCAAGGGACCGGGTTCTGAATAGTGTGGAATCAAAAAATGATAGATTTCAATTGATTTCAATTTACTGTCAATTGATTTCAATTTACTTTCAATTGGTTTCAATTGATTTCAATTTTACTTTCAATTGATTTCAATTTACTTTGAATTGGTTTCAATTTATTTTCAATCGATTTCAAGAAAATGAAAATTAAATTAAACTAAACTTTTACAATTATTTTGGAGTCTGTGGACGCAATAGTGTACCCCCACACTAATCAGGATCCAACATTAATATACATATACATGTATATATATATCAATACAGTTGTTTATCTGTTTTAAATATATCTGTACATATATATATGTACATATATATATGTATATCATATCTACAACTAATTACAATTATATATATACACATATAATTCCTTATGATTAAATGCATATACTTATTTTTATATGTGTACACGAACACCTCGTGTATGGACAATCCATATCTAGTTTTGGTGAATCAAGATACATAAATGCCCAAATATGTGGGTAATTGTTATCATCCAACACCTTGGTTTATAGATCCCTTTGATCAGTGCAGAAATTTGTGTTGCCAAGATAGGCAAGTTTGTTAAGACACCAACTAGAGGATGAATGGGGATGCATGGATTTACAAAGGTATATCATCTTATGACATCTTGTACCCTCTGGTAAACATACAAGAAACTATAGAAAATCAATTAAATCACCTTTGAATCACCATTAAATCACCGTTAGTGTCCTCTTCACAGGCGGAGCAGCAAGCCGAAGCCGCCCAAGCCCAAGCGGCCGCAGTTGCTGCGGCGGCGCAGAGCATCGAGCGGAAACGCCGGAAGCCGCAGGTTCCAAAGGGTGAGCTCACCGTAGCAGAGGAGATTACCCGCATATCCCGCAACATCCCGTGTCGCTATGGGACATATGGGGAAATCATCGAAGTAAATGGCGGATTTAATGGGAGGAATCACAAATAAATTGAGGTTCGAAGAAATGGTGGTTGGCTCATGGGAAAATCATGGAACTGCAAGCCATGCTTGATGACCAGAGGGTAGCTGGTTTCCAAATTATCGAAGCGTTCAAACCATTAAAAACCATGGTTTGGTTGTTGATGACTCAGGCATGATATCATGTTCTGTTTTTCCGATCGATTGGCCAACACCAACATTAACATCCATGAGGCTACAGGTCGATGCAGATTGAAGCAGGAATATATCTCCAACCCCCGTGGTTTCCACGTAATAAAAGCATTGAATCCTATTGGTTTCATCCTGATTAAATCAACATGAACCAACCCTGACCCGCTTGGTACAGAAGTTGCAGGCTACGCCACCTCCAGCGGTAGAGGAAGGGCAGATCCGCAAACTCTTCGAATTGCTGGATGGCAAGAGCAAGGGGGAGGTGGCTCCAGTCAGATTCGAAGCGAAAACTGAAACCCACCCAGTGATTTTTGGGGATTGGAAGGTAACCAACAAACTCCGCATTGGCCAGTTTTGCGATGTTTCAAATGAGTCTTGTGACGTATTGAATCCGTTGAAGAAAATTAACCTGTGGTTTTCTTATCATCTCGTTCTTACCAATAGATCGGCAGCAACCTCGCCTTGCTCACGTTGGGTGCAAATTTCGTTTGGCACAGCATCAGGTCTCACAGCGTGATGTGTTGGTGGCCTTGAAAAAGCACCATCCGATGCTCGGGAGCAGCTTCAGTCGGCAGTGACAACATGATGCATTGTGAACGCAGCGACATTGGAATGTTTACCATCGAACATGGGAATATAACCATGGTTTGATAAACACATAAATACAATTTTCCGCGGGATAGTCATCCATTTACCCAGCCTTGGGGGGGCACATCCCCATAGAATGCATTAAGATTAATTAGAAAGTATGGTCCGAGGCCTTGACGCTGAAGATCGACGGGAATCATCCCAACAAAAAAGGCCAGGCCTTCAGGTTTACCACACTGGAACATCAACTTCTGGATCATCCAATCCCATCAAGGAAAAATCTCATGAAGGGAAGCCTAAAAGAAGGGGTTGGTTTGAAGGGAAGAAATTAAGTCGCTTTCATCCTTAACCCCATTGAAACCACTATAATATATATGTTATATACTTGTTACAAGGTCATGCCCTCTCACTTATGTTTGTTGGTGTTGTTGGTTTATGTTCATCCCGTTAACTAGTTTGATGTATTTGCCATAAACCATAGAATTCAGCTAGTTATGTTCACCAACTCAGAGTTCACAAACATCAGCTATATATCATCCAAATCACCGATTTTAGTAGGTTGAATCAAACTGTTGGTTATATCAGATTCCACTAAATGCCCATTGCATATGATTAAACCCTATTAAATCCCATTAAATATCATTAAAATCCCTGAAAAAAAAAACATTAAATCCACATGAAATTCACATGAACGCAAATTGCGGCATTTTTCCTGCCTCTTCATCCCCACTTTCTCGGTGAAATCAGCATGTTCTGCGGCGCTTCACAGCCGGTGGGCGCCGTGTTCCCAGGATTCGTCAACTTTTTGGTCTGGTGGGGTCTGGGGAGGCGAAATTGTCGGATTTCGGGATTTTTTGTGGAGATTTTTATGGGTTTTTGATGGGATTTGCATGAAGATTTCTATGGTGATTTTTTATGGGTTCTACAGGGATTTCCGTGGGGATTTGATGAAAGTTTTTTTTGGGACCTAATGGTGATTGAATGGGATGTTTCATGGTATTTGATGAAGATTTCAAGGCATTTAAAGAGGATTTAAAGGGACTTAATGCGGATTTTGTGGTGATTGAAAGGAATTTAATGGGTATCTAACGGGGCATACCCTTCTTTTGAGACAAACTCATGTGTTGACCAACTCGATTTGGGAATTGAAACATTGAAAATGGTGGTTATAAGACCAACCTACGACTATGATTATTTGCATTTACAATGGTTTCTTGACCAGAAAATTGATTTCAATATGTCAAGATCATAATCATGTTGTGGGTTTCAATTCGTCGGGCAAAGCGAAACCTTTCATTTTCTTTGGGGAATCATGACACCATCACAGTCCGGGTGGACTGTTGGCTAACAAGGCGGTTTTCCTCCAAGACTTTGGGAGGATTACCCTCTGGTAATTAGACATGGCAGAGGAAAATCAACCATACATTAGTATTTTAATGGGCAAATCTTCTGTAAATCTATGGGAGAGTTGGGATTGCTACGACCCTATAGATACCCTGCAGTGTTGATGTTTCATTCTTCCTGTCGGAGTTCCTCGCCTTTCGACCCCTTGTGAGGCGGCAGCGTTACAGCAGCGAGTCGAAAAGATCCAAGAAGCCTTTGAATCGGGGTCAGGCGGATTTTTTGAAAACCTGAAGGTGTTGACCTGGAAAAAATGGGTGACTTGAATTGGGAAGCTTTCTCGAAATGTTGGGAAAATGTCTCGAATTTTGGATGATCACCAGTTTCCCGAAATGGCAATGAGGTATGCCGCATACAGACACGTCCGAGTTAAATTGACGAAGATATTTTTGAAATGGATTGAATCCACCAACCGGAATTGTTATAAGTTTATCACGCAACAAACATTTGTCACCATGGGCCGCCTTGGTAAAGTGTCATCTCAATCAAAATAAACCACAAGTTCAGGTGCAGTCACTCAGACGGAAAGATCATGAGTTGAATCTAAGGAAAATTGGGTACCCCAAAAACCATTAACCCGCCCATGTTGCAGCTCCCAGGGCCAAAGCACATCTTGATTTCGACGGTTTCAGATCCTAAAAATGACCATGACCCAGTTGAGTGGTAAGAAGAGTAGCTTCAACCTAGGTTTCCCTTAAACCAATTTGCTACAATTCTATTACTAGTATTGATGCTTATATCTCATTGTAGCTCTATCAAATGTTTGATTACTCCTCATCCCGGTCAACTGTGATCAGTCCAGCGCAGGTTTGGGCGAGGTGGCACCACTCTTCAACTCGCTGAAGGATGACCATCGTTTGACTCTTCCGGAAGTTTCAGTAAACTGTCACGCTCCAAAAAAGTATTGTACGTATGAGACTGTATGATTTTACAAAATTATACAATATTATAATGTGTAAGTACAGAATCAAAGACACCTTGCGAGTGTTAAGTTTTGGTATTTATTGTTTGCTGTTATTATCTATTATTATATACACCCTTGTTAACATTGAACAAGTTTCTGTCAGCGTGCCGTGCTTATACATTTGTTCATCTGATTTACCGTTCCTTCATCGAGGCGAACGGCCTGGTAGTGAAACTCGTCGGATGGTGGCGTTTTTCCAAAGACCTTTATTGGTTTACCCTGCCTGGTAAACATACAAAAAACTATGGAAAGATCCACCATTTTATAGCTGGGTAAATCATGGTAAATCCACTATTTCTATGATCATTTTCAAGTTCGCAAACTGTAAACGTTTACCAGAGGGTAGTATGTGTAAGGTCCTTGAGTGCACTTGTGCTGAAAGCAGGATCTTGTACCAATGCGGAATGCGTATGAGAACGGGGTGAAGCGACTAAGATTGTATAATATTTGTTCAGATGCTGCTGCCATCTAGTCATTACCATTTTTTGGATAATTGTTGAATAAGTAGGCACCTTGCACTTCTGGTATGCCTTTACCACTTTCGTTTCGGTGTGCCCCTTTCACTTTCCTTCTGGTTTCTTGTTTGCTGTGGGCTCGGCTCGTTCACGCATTTTGCTAGGTTTTTATTGCCTTGGACCTTTGTTTTTTTTACTGCGCTTTAGGCGGATCATTCGGGTTACAGGTTTCAGATGTGGGTCTTCTTACCGGGATGGCTTCGCCGTTGTTTCACACCTGCCAGGAGGCGAGTGGGAACAACGGCAGCTTTGACTTCAGCGCCTTGTTATCAGCGTGCCAGCGACAGCTTCAATGCAATGTGCTGGTGCGGGCTCCCATGGGTTTCCAGGAATGGAGATGGGTCATACTGGGGTCCTGGGCCCAAAATGGGTGAAAATTTGGGTATATACCCAAGTTTCAGACACAAAGACACCTATTTTTTTAAAAGACCATAAAAGACCGAAACATAAAAACTGGGATAGGTGAGGATCCAAAGATACTTGAGTCGGTTCATGTTTGGGTGTTTGATCCGGGTTTCCTTGGGTGAAATGACCAAGATACACTGTAATGACACCTATAAGGGCACGCCATTTGAAGATGTTGGAGATGGGATAAGGTGGAGCCAGACACAAAATAATGTCAAGGTGTTTCGGAGTCTTCCAAGTTCCCGGTGAAGATATGTGTTGCGATTTTTTCTTCAATATTTGTTGGTATAGCTGCTATAGCCCATATTGGTTGGATCTCGGTAAATCTCGGTAGAGTTTGCCTCAGAAAATGTCAGCGCCACCAGGCTGCTGTGGAGAGTTTGCCACGAGAACACGCTCAAATTGAAGCCTTTACCCCCACGAAAAAATGGAGCGTCGTGCCCCAAGGCCCCTTTTTGACAGGGGCGGATTTTGGAGGTGAAAAGATGTGCCACTTGTGCCATGGGGAAAGGTATCTTAAATCATCTTAAATCGACAAAACTGGGAAATATCCCAGAAAGATTGTGTTTCGATAGCTTCATTCGGCTTTTCAATTTTCAATTCTCAGTAAGACAACACGGAACTTGGCCCACCGGATGTTACACGACATGGTGCGACACGGTGCCACTAGACGCTACTAGGTGTTTTGTTGCTTCATGGGTAACTAAGCAATTCATAGCCAATCAAAGGTGAACTTGTTGAATCAATGTTGAAGAAGAAGTACTTATAGATTTCATCAGTGAGTTGTTTCTCAATCACAAGAAATAGATATTGATAGATTTGATAGATATTGACAACCGTAGTTTTCACCATCAACCTCAAGCATGCATACATGTATGATTTGTATCCCGTTTTTGCAGGTCAATCAATATCTCAATATCTCCATGTGGGTTGATTAACATCCCCATTTTTGGTTGATATCAACCGCAATTAAATGAAAACAACCCCCTATAGAGATAATTGTGAGATCCGCCTGATTGCACTTTCGCTGTTGATAGGGTACCCATGTCTCCGTCACTTTTCGGTACCCCAAAACCCAACGTTTGGTATGCCAAATTTTCAGACACATCCATACGAGCCATGTTCATTCCCAGAATGGACTTTGGCAATTACCAATACATAAAAGGGAAGTAAAACCCTAATCATCAACCAACCACCATGTCTTAATTATGTCTCCCAATTTCGGATGGATAAAATCGGATAACGCCTCTATCCATCATGGTTGTCTTCTCATTAAATACCCAAACAACAAGGGTTTTGAACATTGCTCATACCTGTCTGAAAATGGGGCACACCACCAAAATGATCATCAAATAAGGGGAGAATTGATGATCAACCAGTAAATATATGATATAGGGGTACTCCATTTGCAGGCCAACCCATTTTTTCATGGGGATATGTCTTTGATTCTTTCTTTCTTTCGGGTACAAAAGGGTTCACCGTTGCTGCCTAAATGCAAGATTCTCGAATTATGAATTAACAAAAAAATAAGCTTCGGTGGTATCCCCAACAGCCGCAACGTTTTATTTTTACCCTGCTGCGAAGCCAAGCGCTGGAAACCCTGTTGAACCCGTTGAACCTGACCTGGCCTTTCACCAAAGATTCCCAAAACCTTCTCCAGGACCTTCTCTCCTTCTCTGGAACCTTCTCCGCTGCACCAAAGCCTCCCAGACCTTCTCCGATGCAATAGCGACATATACTGTAATGATATATACTGTAATACCGTCTGGATGAACTAAAATGACCGTTAATAACCTCAATGTGACGTCATTGGAATGATGGTTAGTCAGGGGAATCATCCCAAATGGCATTGTTTCAGCGATTTTCAAGTAAGTTGTTTTACAAGTCAGCCATATATATATATATATTATACATGTGTATATATATATATTATATTATACAAAAGTATATATATATATATGTATATATATAAATACATATATACAATATAGTGCCGATCTGAAACTTAGAATTTCTACCCAAGCCCCCATTCTTGAGGGTCAGAACTTAGAATACTTGCCCACGTTTTGAAATGATGTACACTTCGAACCTTCTCCGGCCTGTTAAACCTCACGTGGCTCTGCACCAAAGCCTCCCAGAACCTTCTCCGGAACCTTCTCCGGAACCTTCTCCGGAACCCTGCTGAGCCTAACCTGGCTCTGCACCAAAGCCTCCCAAACCTTCTCCCGAACCTTCTCCGGAACCCTGTTGAACTTGACCTGGCTCTGCGCCGAAGCCTCCCAGGCCTTCTCCGGAACCTTCTCTGGAACCCGTTGAACCTGACTTGGCTTTGCACCAAGGCTTCCTGGAACCTTCTCTGGAACCTTCTCCGGAACCCTGTTGAACCCTTCGAAGGTGCTTGGAGTCGCTGTCGCTGAGGATCTCCATCTCGTCCCCAGATTTTGAAGAGCCAAAGCCAATATCCACTCCTACGGCCGAGGCGCTTTGCTCGAGGAGTTGTTGTAGCTTCATCAGCTCTTCCTCTTCGTCGGCATCGCCAGTCAGATCCAGGATCTCGTCTGCAGGCAAAGACGGAGCGGCAGAGGCCTTGGCCTTGCCGCTGGTGGCTGCTTGTGCATTGTGCTCGATGATGGACCGCCTCGCAGTCTGTCCGGAACCCTGTTGAACCTGACTTGGCTTTGCACCAAGGCTTCCTGGAACCTTCTCCGGAACCTTCCCCGGAACCTTCTCCAGAACCCTGTTGAACCTGACCTGGCTCTGCACCAAAGCTTCCCAGACCTTCTCCGGAACCCTGTTGAACCTGACCTGGCTCTAGCACCAAAGCCTCCCAGACCTTCTCCGGAACCTTCGGAACCTTCTCCTGAACCTCGTTGAACTTGACCCGGCGCCTGCACCAGTTCACACCGGAGCTGTTCTGGGCTGAAGATCCCATTAGCTTACGCTGTAGGGGAAAAATGACACATTCCATTAAACCCACAAAAAATCAATTAAATCAGCATTAAATCCATATTAAACCCCATAAATTTCGATTAAATCTAACTAAATCCATATTAAATCCCATAAAATTTCAATTAAATCCCATTAAATCCATATTAAATCCCATAAAACTTCAATTAAGTCTAAATTAAACCACCATTAAATCCTATTAAATCACCATTAAATCCCATTGAATCACCATTAAATCTCTAGAAATCCCTATGAGATCCCTTTGAAAACGCGAAAAAGTTCCAGAAATCCACTTCTCCAGGTGCCGCATGCCCTGCGGGCCTGGAGTATCGTCGCTGGGTGAGATAAAAATCATGGGATTTTACATGTGAAGGGTCACAGGCCACAGGGATAGGTATATAAATCCCATGTATTGACTTTTTATGGTATGATGATTCAACGAGTGACCTTTAAGATGAAATGATTATAAAAATCATAGGTTTCATAATTTTGCATGATTACACATGGATTGGTTTTTTGAATCTCCATTTGTTTTATCATTTATGGTATGTATAATCCCATAGGATTCCATGGAAATTACCAGTGTAGATTATAACGACCGAACCCTGTCCGATGGGAATTTTAACTCGATGTATATGTATATGTGTACGTATGCGTATATGTATATGTATGTATATATATATATATTTGTATATGTATACTTAGAAGTGGCTGAATTGTATGGTTTATGGCAGATACAACTCTAGTTCATATGTATATACTGGTGATATAAGTATAAGTGGCTGAATTCGATGGTTTATGGTAGATATAACCTTCGCTCATATGTATATATTGGTGATATAACTATAAGTGACTGAATTCTATGGTTTATGGTAGATATAACGAACTAGTTAATGGATTGACTCCCTTGAATCTTGATTTTATGATCATTTATGGTATGTTTAATCCGATAAATGTAATCACGACCGAACCCTGCTCTCCCAAAGCCTGGAATCATAGTTAATATAGTTAATAAGGGAAATCATTCCCAAATGGTTGCAAGATTCAGGTTAGTCAAATAGTATAATTTACCCAAATGTGTATACTCGGGATATAACTACAAGTGGCTGAATTCTATGCTTTATGGTAGATATCACGAACTAGTTAATGGATGTCAATATAATATATATATATATATGCATATAATACAATGTGATAGTATAGATATACCTACATATTATGGCGATATTTTTTAGATATACTATACATTACCATTATATATAGTAACATGATAACTATATATAGATATACCTAGATTTACTATCCATACAATGTGGGCCCCCCAGTTATGATTGTTGGTTTATAAACCATAGCAACTAGTTCGATATAGCTACCATAAACCCTAGTTACAGTATTGAAGTTATCAACCAACTTAACTATCTAGGGGGTCCCACATCGTTATTTTTTGCATTAGGCACTCAGAGGTTGTACACTGCGGCCCTACATAAATTCTAGTCTGTACATTCAACCTGCAAAGTCTTGCCCAAAATGTTGCGAGGACGCCTGCACAAATAAATGTTCGCATTGGGACAAGAACAGTTTGGGACAAGCACAGTGCTTAACAACGAGTGGAGTCCCAACAGCAGATCGGAAAGCAGTTGCAAGTCCTCTACAGAACGCAGGAGGATACTCTTTCAAAGGCGCAGTGGTCCATGATCCATCCCGCTCCCAAGAGGCCGTGACAAAGCGTCAAACTTTCGAATCCAGGAAGGGAAAGCAAAAGTTGTAAAATGATGTAAAATGGGCAATCTCCAAATTGAGGGTGCTTCCTCATCAGAAGGCTTCGCCGCTTAGCTCCAAAACGGCAATCCCATTGCAAAGCGCCAGCCGTACACACGCAAACCCAAATGTCAAAAGGTCATTGCACACCATCAGGTCACCACCACTTGTAGGAGTTCTCTGATGCGAAGATTGTCAAACCCCATATATACATATATATATATATAGATGTATATATATATATATGTATATATACGTATAATATATATATACACGTATATAATCTATTTTTATATATATATATATGTGGGAGATATAATCCGGGTTTGGATTCTCGGGATTTCGCCCTGTAAACTGATCTCTGGCATTGTTTTTTCGGTGGTGTAAGCACAGAGAATTAGGCGGAAATCACAAACTAAAATGGAGATTCACAACCATAGCGCGGATGTGATTGGCTGGTTTAGCATGTTTGGGTCGGTTAGTATCAAAATCAGGACGACCCTAATATATGGCAATGTTCGGAGGAAGTTTAGAAGTCAAACTTCCGACAACATGGACAGATGAAAAGCAGAGCAGGGCAGAGGCAGAGAGAAGAGAAAGATTAGAAGAGAGAAGATTAGAAGAGAAAGAGTCAGAAGAAAGAAGATGCAGATGCGCGAAAAGGTAGGAAAGTCGCGAAACATTGTGTTTTTCCAATGATTTGTGTCTCCGGGGTCGACAAGTAGGCTCGCTAAAGCGGCGGGTGCGGAGCCAGTTGGCCAGATCAGAGATGGAAAAATTGCACGCCATTGTGGCGTGAAGCAGATTTCCAAGTCAAAATGTACAA